ATATCCCCACGGGACTACGATGGCCACGGGACCCACACCGCAAGCACTGCTGCCGGGTCCCCTGTCCAAGGCGCCAACCTGCTGGGCTTCGCTAGCGGGACGGCGCAGGGGATGGCATCCACTGCTCGGGTCGCATCATACAAAGTCTGCTGGATACACTTGTGTTTCAGTTCCGACATACTGGCAGGTATGGACCGTGCCATCAAAGATGGCGTCCACGTGTTGTCGTTGTCGCTGGGTGGCGGTCCACTTGATTACGACGAGAGTTTGATCTCATGGAGCTTTCACTGCAACTGATAGAGGCATCCTCGTTTCGTGCTCCGCAGGAAACAGTGGCCCCGACCCGTACAGCATGGAAAACAATGCACCGTGGATAACGACCGTCGGTGCGGGGACCCTTGACCGCGACTTCCCGGCGGATGTCATGCTCGGGGACAGAACGACTTACGCCGGCACCTCACTCTACAGCCTTCGAAAGCCACTGTCCGGTGATCTCATGTACGCTGGATATGTGAGCAACAACGGCAGCAATCTTTGCATTAACGGGACCCTCATCCCAGAGAAAGTTCGAAATAAGATTGTGTTGTGTGACCGCGGGGTGAATCCCAGAGTTGAGAAAGGCGCAGTGGTGAAAGAAGCTGGGGGTTTAGGGATGATTTTGGCTAATACTGACAAGGAAGGAGAGGAGATGGTAGCAGACGCTCACATGATCCCGGCCATGATGGTCGGCGCAAAGTCGGGGCGTGGAATAAGAAGGTATTTGTTGTCCTATAGATCNGATATGTGAGCAACAACGGCAGCAATCTTTGCATTAACGGGACCCTCACCCCAGAGAAAGTTAGAAATAAGATTGTGTTGTGTGACCGCGGGGTGAATTTAAGAGTTGAGAAAGGCGCAGTGGTGAAAGAAGCTGGGGGTTTAGGGATGATTTTGGCTAATACTGACAAGGAAGGGGAGGAGCTGGAAGCTGACGCTCACATGATCCCGGCCACGATGGTCGGCGCAAAGTCGGGGCGTGGGATAAGAAGGTATTTGTTGTCCTATAGATCCAATGCCAAGGCCACTTTGTTGCGAGGGATAACTAGGGTGGACGTCAAGCCTTCCCTGGTTGTCGCAGCCTTCAGCTCTAGGGGACCCAACCTTATCACCCCCGAAATCCTAAAACCGGACCTCATTGCGCCCGGGGTGAACATCCTAGCTGGATGGACAGATGCTGATGGTCCCACCGGCTTAGATATCGACAAACGCAAAGTCCAATTCAACATAATCACTGGCACGTCCATGTCGTGCCCCCACGTCAGCGGCCTCGCGGCCCTGCTAAAGGCGGCCCACCCTGAGTGGAGCCCTGCCGCCATTCGTTCGGCTCTCATGACCACGGCTTACTCCAATTACGAGGACGGGAGCCCGTTGCTGGATGAAGCCACCAACAACGCGTCCACCCCATTCGATCATGGTTCCGGGCATGTGTCCCCTATCACCGCCCTCAACCCAGGCCTAGTCTACAACCTAACCACGAACGATTATTTGAACTTTCTCTGTGCAATAAATTATACTTCTTCTAGAATCAAGACCCTTGCAGGGAAAACAACAAAATTCCGTTGCCAGCCCAAAAAATCATACAGCGTCAACGACCTCAATTACCCTTCCTTTGCAGCCACCATTCCCCCATCTGGAAATTGTAAAACAACCGTGGTTTTTAGGAGAACACTCACAAACGTGGGAGAAAATGGGACGACATACCGAGTCTCGATATATTCACCAAGACCGTCAGCCACGATTTCTGTTACTCCTAAAACATTGGTTTTCGGCCAAAAGAACGACGCAAAGTCTTACAAGTTGACGGTGGTAGCAACCCAGATGTCGCCCGGTACAAACGCGTTCGGCAGAATCGAATGGTCGAATGGGAATAATGTGGTGGGGAGTCCAGTTGCTGTTAGTTGGATCAACGCTACTCAGGATTAATACAGTAGTTTCCTTGTTTACTTACTCTTAACTGTATCGTAATAACTCACATATATAATAAGGCTACGCCAATAATAATAATAATAATAATAATAAGTCTTGTTTGAGGTATACTACTTGTTTGTTGTTTCTGTAGCATTTTATTATTTACTTATTTTAAACAAGTAGTAAAGTGTACGTGCCTGCGATGCACGTGATATATATATAGTTTTTGTTGTAGTTTTAAATTATGTTTTTTTCATATTTATATGGTTTATTCATTTATCTGAATTATTATTTGTTATTAATAAAACAAAAGAAGCTTTTTACACAATGAATTGTGTCATATATCGAAATTAAAAATACCACTTTTATAATGATAATATTTAAAAGTTAAGATAAAAAAAAGAGCATACACGAACAAAAAAAACAAGGGGATAAACATTTTCTCTATGTTAATATTGTTTGTTTGAAATAGTATTTTAGTTCAGGCAAAGTTGAAAAATATGTACTGTAATGACTATTTTGCTTGAGCACTTCTGATTGCATAAATGTCCACTAACTAAGAAAAATCGAGCACAAAATACCTGAAAATTCTAAATTTGGCAAAAACTCTCAATATATGAAAACATAATCTTATTTTAACACGAGACTAGTACAAATCTCGTGCTATGCACGAGTAATAGATATTCATTAATATTTATAAATTAAAATTTTTTTATTAAATAATATTTATATATTAAAAACATGGAATCAATATGTAATACAGTTTACCTATTTAATTTATTGTAAATGTTATATAAAATTTAAATTATGCAAAATTATATAAAAATATCTATTTTTAAAATTACTACACAATCTGTGCGTTGCACATAACTGATAATAAATTACATTATATTTGCTTCAATATATGTGTCATTTCAAAAATTTTATTCAGAAATCCGATTGGACTATAACGTGATTCTATAGAATTATTCGTATCCAAATTCATTGTTAAAATACCGTACAAAGTAAAAGGATTCAATCCGCAAAAATTCAATTTTGGTCCGCTAACTTGTCCATTATTCATTTTTGATACACTATCTTTCCCCTCATAAAAAATGGTTCATTATGTTACTCTTTTCATCAGTTTTAGTACGCTACTCCAGTTGGCGGGATTACAAGATTACGTGGATCAGGATTGGAACTACGTGGAGGGATAAGATATTGACGTGGTAGGATAAAAATCTGATNATAAAAAATGGTCCATTATGTTACATTTTTCATCAGTTTTAGTACGCTACTCCAGTTGGCAGGATTACAAGATGACGTGGACTGAGATTGGAACTACGTGGAGGGATAAGATATTGACGTGGTAGGATAAAAATCTGATTTGGTATCTCGTAATCTCGGGCCACGGGATTAGTGTACTAAAACTGATGAAAAGTGTAACATAATGGACCATTTCTGATGAGGGGAAAGATAGTGTACCAAAAGTAGACAATGGACAAGTTAGCGGACTAAAACTGAATTTTTGCCCCATCTCATTTGTTGAAAAAGGGACATCTTACGATTTTTCATCCAAGTAACAATTTAGAATATATGTAATATATTCTAGCTTTGTTGTTGGAAGGAGTTTTTTCATTGGAGTTTTAGTTTGGAGTTTTAGTTGGATTTTAATTATTCTAACGGCTCTTTTTTCTTCAAACTTTTCAAGTGGGAGACTGACTTTGTAAATGAATTGAATTTGAGTGTAGTGATGTAGTTATCCCAATTAACTTGTCACTAGTGTCCACCTAAATCTCTGTTCATCAGCCAGATTCATACTTGAAAAGGGAAGATATTTTGTCAAGGTTACGAAGCCAATCACAAGTACTTGGGTGGTACAATCCTGAATTTCAAGCTCAACAGATGCATCAAGTATTCCAAAAAAAATAAAAATAAATAAACTTGTGTGGGTTTACTGTATTGATCATCTGGTCAATTGTACATAGAAATATCTAAATTCTGCAAATCGAGTGTTGCTCGTCTGGGTAACAATATAACTGTACAGCTTTCATTCATAGAATTTGAAAAGGATGGATGGCTCCATAAGAAAAGTACCATTCGGTGACTCCATAGAATTTTTGGTCTATTCCAAATCTAAACAAGTAGTGCAATGTGCACCTTCAAAATGCCAATTACCCAATCTTCTGAGCTAAATACCAAAAAAAACATCATGGACCATCATCCCTTGCCGATTTTGAGTAGGCAAACCAATAAAAAAAATCAAATA